TTCATTTTCCTTAATTTAACAAAACTCTCAAACATTAGTCTCCAGGTGTTGCTTATGGTAGGCTTTGAACACATCATGTACTGTAGGTGCTTTTTTTTAAAAAAAAAGACAGTTGTTTTGCTGTATGTAATTGAAATTGATAGTATTATATCAAAATGTAATTATTTCTCAGTATCCAGAAAGTTGAAAAACAGAAACAGAACAACAATAGTGTTGTAATGTGAGTGGCTTCAGGGATGAGGGGAGACAGCAGTGAGTTATTCTTTTTTTTATCCCAATCTATTTTTCATCATTACACACTTATTCTGTTAGCATTTTTATTTAATCATAAGGAAGGCCATGAAGACGCAGTACTGTAAGCTGCAGACATTGTCTCCATTAATTCCTATTTTGATTTGATTTGCCTAGTAGTAGAGGGCTGGTTGGGTCTTATGAAATATCATTACATGTGTATGGGCTCATTTTTCAGGATACAAAGTAATCAGCCAAAATCAATACACCACAGTGGTTATTTAATAATTAGTCTACAGCCTTGGGAAAATAGATGGACAATATTTCCATAACCTCCTACTGTATATATTAAAAATGATCCCTAAAAGCTATGAGTCTATGTCAGACCACTTCACAAAATGCTTAATAATAACACTTAATTGCTTAGTACTGTGGAATCTCTTGAAAAGTATTGCTAAATAAATGTATTATAATTACTGTTGTTGCTATTACTATAATGATGCCAGACGTTATTGAAAACAAAGCAGGGTCAGGATAATTCTGATTCAGTGCTGCAGAATTATTCAGATTTGCTCTCCTGTGTTATACAGTATGCCTGGTTTTTAAGGTTCAAATTACAGATTTAAAGATTGAATTAAAGATCAGATTTTTTAAGAATACAGTACATGCCTTCATCATGCCCAGAGAGCACAGATTTCTGCCACACGTATTGCAAATACACATTTAAACCTTTTGTTGCTTTCAAGCAATTATAAAGAGAGAAGAAGTGACGCAATTTTAATAATATTTTAATGTTGAAAGATATATCCCTTGCATTTTAATAAAGTTCTGCCAAAGGTGTTAATATGATGGCATAATAGCATGAACATATGTTCACCAGAAATACAGTAGGTAAAAAAAGCTCCATTTCTCAGTGTAGCATGTGCTTATTTGACACTCTTGCTGTGATGTTCAATACCAGTTTAAGAAAATAGCCACACATCTACATATTAAAAATGGCTTTTCTAATAGTTATAAAGAATGGTACCATTCCACTATATCGATGCTACCACAAAAAACTGAATCAAAGAACAGCCAAATGTGGATGTCTTTTAACATGAGGCGAGAGTTGAATTCTAATATAAAATCTTCACTTCTACATGCCATAGTTCAACTGCAGAGATTATCATTCCCTTTCATTATCTTAATAAGCATATCTATGCGCATTTATGAAGAGTGCCGCATTTAACAAAGATATTATTATGAAATAATTTGGTATTACTGTAAAGCATCCAGAAATAATTTCAGGTACATGGTGAAAGTTTAATTGTATATCTCTGTATATATTTATACTTGACTGGTTTTCTCATGGTTTAAAAAAAATAAACTTTTTTAAGAGAAGTAGAAGGGTGCTTGTCTTATTCCTAAGAGCTCTAAGGTTTAAGTTCCTCTCTCCCTCTGCAGTTTTCTCTGAACTTGGAAGACCTACTGTATGCCCATGACTGTGTTAATGTTAATATTAAAGTCCAGATCTCAATATAGGATTCATATTCATATCCTTTCACTGTCACAAAATGAACATGTTTATCCAGTGTTAGGCTGGAATCAAATACTATACTTTCAAGAACACGATTTTACAGTTTTTTATTTTATTTTGCACTAGTATGGATGATCAACTTCATGCTTCCAGTAAATTTGTCTAAATAAGGCTTTGCTGGCCTCCTCCCGTGAAGGGTCAGTTTAATGCAGCCTGGCAGCTGGAAACGTCCTGTATTTGTGTGAGGATTGATCAGTTTCATTTGGTCAATGATGCATGTGAATAAAAGGTGAGCTGAAAGGGCGTTTTTAGTTCTTTTATTACTGATTCCTCTGAAAATATGACACCAAAAAAACAATAGAAATGTATATAAACTTAATCAATACCGGGACATATAATGTTGTGTATTGATAAACACAGAGGAAACAATCTAATGTTTTTTTTTCTAATGCAAGGACACAGTCAGCTTTGAAGTGCAAATATGCCATACACTATGTGCAAGAGAATAGTCTGCTTTGCACTTGGGGAAATTTGCTGTTTGTGCTATTTGTGTTTTCAACCTGGTTTTTAGATAACATTCTTCTAATTAAAACAATGTTTCAGAACATTACCTATTGGATGATTAATTTTTTCTTTATTCTATCAGTTATTTGGTATATTACCATCTTTACATACTGTAAAAATATGTAAAATGTAATTATCAAACATTTTAAATTCAAATACTCAGAAATCAGACCTTGACATTTACTTTCTTCATAAGTATTACTTGAGTATTTTTCCACATCAAGCATTCTCACTCTCAGCATCTTTAAAAACCTGTGAAAACATTAATATCGCACCGAATAATGTCTCAAATTATCAGAATTGTATCTATAGAGATCTACTAGCTTGATATTATTCATAGAATTTAAAATATAATCCCTGCTCAGGTGGTAGTTATGAACATGTTTTGTACTTGCCAGTCAAATTGTCTTTGAAATGTAAAATACTGGTGAGCATTTCACACAGTCCATTTTGCAGTACCACCAAGTAAAGCTCCAGACATGAAATGCAGTAACCTGAGAGGTTGCCATGGCTGAGACAGGGTCAGGAAGGCTTGCCTTCACCTTTGTTATCGTGGGAACAATGCAAGATACATAGATACTGTTTGAGAGAACAAATTTCCCACAGCAGCACATTTTGTCTCGGATTTAAAGCTGCCACGATATTTTGAAGTTCACAAGTATTGTTGACGAAAGACTGCCAGTGCAACGTTAGAGTACTACACACGTGGTCATGATAGTGCAATCAACCCTCAAAAAATGAAAAGAAGAAAAGCGTTTGTACATGATTGCATGTTTCACATGGTTCTTTCTATCAGTGAAGTCACATTAATGGTACAGTGCTCTTTTATGTTCACATAGTTTCAAGAAGAATGGCTGTCACTAGTGCAAAAACTGATTTTTAAAAAATCTAATACACAATTTATTGCAGCTGAAGGAAACTGTGGTAAAGGTAAATTAAATTAAAAATAAATAAATCCCATTGCTCTTTATTTTGTCTTCAAAAAAGCTGCGCTTCTATATATACATGTTGTGCAAAAACATTTAAAGGTTTGAAGGACTTTACATTGTGATTTTATTTCAAGGCACATACATAAAATACAACAACAACTTTGTTTATAGGAGAAAAACAAAAGAACAAGAAAAACTTTGGTTCCTGAATAGCAGAATAGATTTTGTTATTATAAAACTGATCCACCAGATGAGCGGTCTATATACTAAACAAAGTTTTAATGCTAACTTTCATTATTATTTTTGTTATTACTGTGCTTTTCAGTGGGGTGTTATTATCATAATTGTTGAAATACAAAGAGTTACCATTTTTTAAATTGTTTTTAGAAATTATTAACTTTCCTGAATTTTTTTTCACCTTGTTGTACCAATACTAGAGAGGATTTGTTTTTTATTGTTATTAGAGGGAAACTTTAAGACAAGTCTTCAACTTCAATAGACACAAAAGTTTTTTTTCTTTCCAGGATTATATAATTTTTACAGTTCTCTTATTCATCCTTTCAAAACATTTAATTGTAAATTCTGTGCTTCTGATACAAAAATATAGGGCCTTTTAGATAAAATATCAATTGTTTAAAACTCGTTGAATTTGAGGTTTTATTTTTTATTTTCAAATTAAGTTAGTATACAGCAGTTGAAAGTAAAATCTGGTAGTATTTTAAAAGGCAAGGAAAATAATTTAGTGTTGCTTACCAATATAACACACTCTTCAAATATTGGATTTTGTTTACATGTGAGAGCTCTTGCGCAGAAACACTGTTACTGTAGTTAGGCATAAAACGAGTGTTTTTTTATTATTCTTAATTGTAAACTGAGTTGTCAGGTCTAAAGGAAATAATGAATTGTTAATGGTACAGATTTTGTAGAGGCTTGCAGATGAAGCCCAATAACAATTTTGGTGCCACTAAACCAAACAAAGACTGATGCGATTATTAATCCCAGTGTTTGTAGCCAGCAAAATTTTGTAATCTGTAGTAGAAGAAAAATTGGAAACACTTTGATGACCACAGAAGAACTATTGCCCTCATTTCCTAAATCACATTCTGTGTACTTACATGCAGGAAATAATATTTTACAAGGTCCCAGTGTAAAGATATGAAGATGGCAAATAAATAAGGTATTCATCATTTCTAGGCACTAATGAAAACAGATGTTGATGCATGTGTTACTTTTCTTTTGTTGAATATATTTAAGTCTGTCATGTTATTTGCATATTTTTTACTTGAATTTAGTTTAGAGGTTATAAAACTTGAAAACTTTCTTTGAGTTTGGCTTGCAAAATAAAACTTTGTCTAGGCCAGCAATCTCTCTGAAAGTGGACATTAAAGAAAACCTGGCTACATGGAACATGCTAAATGCATCGAACTGTAGTCTCAGAAGTTAGAGATTTGTGTTAGACAAAAAGTTCTGTATTTTCCTGAAAATACACGTTCAGGAAACAAGAAACACATTCTACATTGCTGCCTACATGTAGAAATCTGATACAGTTTTACATAAAAAATGCATTTGTTATCTCTCAATGTCTCTAGGCAACTTTTATCTTTGCATCTATATTTAAAGTAACAAGTAATAGGTTTATTCCATGCTGAAAAAAAGAAGAAAGAGAACACAACGTTTCGGCCGTGGAGCCTTCTTCAGGTGTCACCTGAAGAAGGCTCCACGGCCGAAACCTTGTGTTCTCTTTCTTCTTTTTTTCAGCATGGAATAAACCTATTACTTGTTCCTTTGCAGCCTACGCATGCTGACGCAGCTACCCACCTGAACTATATTTAAAGTATCCTTGTCATTGCGTAAAATTGCATTCCTCTCAATCACACACATTTTGTTTGATTGACATATGTATGAGCTTAATTAGGAAGTGATATGTTGTATGCAGCTTTATAATTAGAAGAATATCTGCTATTGTCTATTAGTCTGATCATGTATTAATCACTTCCACCTCACCCAAAGTGTGGACAATTAATATTATCCATCACAGCCACTATCAAATACTATGTTATACTGTACCTGTTACCTTTAACACATCTGCTTAGTGTGAACAGCCCTTTTGATCTGAAGGCCCCTGTCTCTTCTTGTATCTCTGGGTTTAAGCTTTCCTACAGCATCCACATTTATCCTTTTTTGAATTAACTGTTTCATTATGTGAGCACAATTTCTCTTCTTCGGCATCTTAAACAGCTTGAGCTAAAATAAAGCCAACAAGATAATAATCTTAATCACCCTACTCACTATTTTGACATAAAGGTGTATATTATAACAGACTTTTAGAAACATCATGACTCAAAATGTTCTTTTAAAAAAAAAGCTAATTTTCTTTTATGTTCACAAGAAACTGAAAAAAAAAATCAAAATAGAAACAGTAAACTGAAAAGCTGAAAATGAATATTATATAATAATAAATATTTGTTATATGTGAGACGAGCATACCTTCACTGTTGTTTGAACCAGTCCACCATTCAAGATCTTTTCTGACATTTTTTAGGTCAGAAAACCACATTCCCCAAGCAAATTCAGAAAACTAACAAACATGACAACCAGCTAAACAGTCAGGAAGCCCCTTTATCACATTGCCTCAGCAGCCCTTCTGCCACAGACTGATACAATGCTGCTGACAGTGCCATCTAGTGGTCCATGAAATACCAACAGGCATACAAATATACACACGGGTTTATTTTATTGGATTCTAATATTTAGAATGATTAAGATTATTATGACACCTTTTCTTATGGATTTACTAAGGATCCAGGAAATATTATCACAGACTTTTGTTCTCTTTCTTTTCTGATTTTAACCACTGGCATGTTTTATGCAGTGTATGATCTACTTTCTGTTTATTTTCCATTAGCCCCTAGAAAGGATTTTTTTCTTACGTTTAACCATCAATATTTATATCTAGCAGGTACTTCTTTTCATGTGTAGCATGAAGAGGTCCAAGTATTATTCTGTAAAAGGCGCATTTTATGCTTCTGTGGTTAAGAAAGTCTCCCAATATCGATATCATGTAAATACTAAAACTAAAAGAGAACATCTTCTGTAAGAAGAAGCTAAGAAGGCTTGATTGTACAAATTCATCTGTACAGTACTTAATACAACTTGAAAACCAACAAATTATAAAACAATTTGCATTTTGTTTACTAAGGAATAAAAAAGATAGCAGATTTCCACATAATAGCCAACAGTATAAATTACATAGTGGACAGGTCTTGGAAATATATACTGTATGCTTATATACAGTATTCAATTGTATTATTAGTACAAAGGTCCTAATGTGGTCTCAAAACTATCATGTATGGCAGCAGTCCACATCTGGGACATTGCTCTTACAGTATGTTATGCTATTATTACCTAGCTGGCAGTCTCTGAAGCCAACACCCCCGTTTGGGGTGTAGATTGGTTGTATCTGGAAATCTCCTTTGAGCAGCTGTTCATTATTTAAGGAGACTATCTGAAAGCTTGTTTCAGTCATTTCGAGGATGGAATTATCCTTTTTAGTCCCTGCTTCACAGTAATCATCTTTTCGTCTTCCTCGGTTGTATTTCCACTTGGAAGAGGAGTACCTGCCCTTCTTGTGCATGTGCCAGCAGAATATGCTTAACAAAACGATCAGAACAACAATCACCGCCCCTCCTATCAAACCGGCCAGGAGGAAAGGGGAGCTGGGGTTTTGCTGAGTGGCCTGCTCTGGGCCAGTGGCCTTATTATTAGAGCTAAATGATGCAGGTTTGGTGGTAGCCTCTGAACATACTGTATCGTCTCCAGGGTGGTAGTTATTGAAAGCATCTAAAGGGATTATACAAATGCGATATGTGGATTTAGGCTCCAGGTTCACCAGGCTCAGTCTCTGTCGTTCCCCACTGACCATTCTTTCTTGCACAACATCTCCTGTCAAGCTGTGCCCCATTTTAACCCAAGACACCTTGTACGCAGTGACTGAAAAGACAGACATCCAGCTTACCTGAATGCAGGTGTCATTGACAAAACTAAAAGAGATCTGCAGAGGGTCCTGGGGAGGGAGCTTAGTCCTCTGCTCATCGCCTGCTGTGGGCAGAGATGGGGTTGTAGGTGTGGGAGACAGATCTGGTGCTGTTGCAGTTGGTCTCGTGGGGGGTGTAGAAGGAGGGGCCTCTGTGGGTATGCGGGTGAGCCGTGGCTCAGATGTGGTGCTTGTGGGGCATGGGATCAGACTGAGATTGAGCTCTCTGATTACCATGCCACGGACCTTATCTGGCTTATGGCACATAAATCCGCGTACATTAAGAGGTGCTGGTAGAGACTTTAACCACTCTGTTACCCATCTAATCCTGCAGTCACAGTACCACAAGTTGTTTCTAACAGTGAGCTGCCTTAGGTTTGTAAGGCCATCAAAGACCCCCTGTGTCAGGGACTGCAGCTGGTTGTTTGAAATATCCAATTTCTCTAGCTGATGCAGGTTAGAGAAGGCTGTCACGGGGATCTCATTCAGCTGATTATCCTGCAAGTTGAGTTTCACTAAAAACTCACCAGGGAGGTCAGAGGGTGGAGTGGTAAGAGAGTTTCGAGACATGGACAGCTCTGTGAGATTTACTAAAGCCTTGAAAGTTCCCTTGGCTATTCCTTCATTTGTTAGGAGATTCCCATCCAGAAGTAAGCGCTTGAGCTTTGTGACATTTTGAAACACTTCCTCTGCAATGAGAGCAATTCTGTTTTCATCAAGACGGAGCTCTTCTAGATCCAGCGGCAATCCAACTGGCACACTGCTTAAGTGGTTTTTTGATAAAAATAACAGCTTAAGGCTAACGGCTTCCCGGAAGGCAGCCTCCTCAATTCCAACAGTAGAGATGGAATTATCATCCAGGTGCAGCTCTTCCAGTTTTGACAGCTGGGCCAGGGCTGCCTTGGAAATGGTTTGGATGTTATTTTCCTGCAGGTGAAGTACCCGCACATTTTTGGGTAAATTAAGGGGAAACTCATCAAGCTGGTTACCATATAAGAACACTGTTTCCACTGAAGCAAGGTTGTGCAGCTCAACAGGGAATCCAGCATTATTGATTTGGTTGTTGTGGAGGTAGAGTGTCTTGTAACCCTCCTGTATCCCAAGAGGAACCGATGTCAGACTCCGTTCATTGCAATAAACAAAGGTTTTATCACAGCGGCACTCCTCTGGACAAGAGGCAGCCCTATAAAATTGTACTTGGAGACCCAGTAATATGGTTACCCATGATTTTAGAAACGTAGCCCAGTCTTTATTCCAGAATCGAGCATGTAACTCCATTTCTTAAGATAATTGGAACTTTGCAATTTTGTAAAAAAAAAGAATCCACTGTAAAGAAAGTCTTTAAAAGCCTGGGTGGATGCTTACTTTGCTGGTAAGTATGCTATATGGAAGAAGTCGGGGGTAATCCTTCTATAATTGCTTGTCCTAAGCTCCAAATACAAGAGCAATGGTCTCATTAACTTGCGTTGCTCTTCTGGCTGCCTCCATCCATGCTTGGATATCAGATGATAGCGCAGCTCATCACATTTCGCTTTCAGCCAAGCAAGGGCCAATTTAAAATCATGCAGCACAGGGAGACATTGGAAATACTCAGCAGGTTTATCATGCAGGACTCCCTCTCTCTCACTCACTCGTCACACACTGCTGCGCTCTGACAGAAGTAGCCTCCTTTGGACTTGACATTTGGATCCAGAGACCTGTTTCAATAAAATAAAAATAAGATTAATAGTTTTCCAAAGCTTCGGACTTCAGAAATGCTCACATTCTACTGTAGTTATCCTAATTTGTGTTCTAGCTACATGCAGAGAAGTTTTCAACAGGAAATAATAGCAAAAGGGACATTAATTAAAGGAAATCAACAGAGTATGTCATCTTCACTGAAAGTTTTATTTCCACAGAATTCACCTCACTTTTTCCCTGCTGGTTTTTCCAGTTAACCTACATTAGCTTTATACAATATGTGGCTTCATACAAAAAAAAATGGAACCATTTTTTTTTATATCTGTGAGTTCAGAGCTCTAAAGGTTTAAAGCACAAAACTGCCTGTGAAATAATAAAAAATAATGCCAATTATAAAGCAAACTGCTCCTAACTGTTTTTATGGATTAAAGTTATTATGGAACTTATCTAAGACAAACAAAATAATACAAATTAAAAACAAAATCCAATAACAGTCATCTAGTGGATAATATAGATGATGAGAACTTGTTTAAAACTTTTTTTTATTAGATACTGGTTAATTAATTTAACATTTGACTGCTTTAGAATACTATTACTGTCACAAGCATTGTAACAAATGGTTTTCATCATCATTAGTGTTGTTTGTGATTTACAGTAGTTGTAAACATTATTTTAATAAAATTCTAGTACAAAACATTTTAAATAAGGTATTAATTTTTAAATGGCATTCAAAGACAAGCTGTCCTCTTTTAGTATTCCAAAACGCGTTAATACCAGAAGCAGATTAAAATGTTAAAGAGGAAATGCAGAAGAAAGTCACTTCCGAATGACTACAAACTATCATTTACATATGACTTCTGTAAGTATGTTAATTATATAACATAAAAAATAAACACTGTAGAATATACACATATTCCACTCATATACTCTTACAGAGAAGTCAAAATTACACAGATAGCACTGCTTTGTGCCCAAGTCAACAGTTTCCAGTATGACTGGACTTTATAGACCGGTGAGCAGAAGGCAGCTCATTATAAACTGCTAACAAAATGAAAGCTTAGTTTTATAGACAACCAAAAGTCAACTAAACTAAGACTAGAAAGTATTTCTGCTGTTAATAGTGCACAGGCAGTTACCACCAATATGAATTGTTTCTTCATAAGCACTGAGGTCACAATATTACAATACCCAATATTCAAAACTTGCATAACAGTCCACTCCAAACTGTGGCTGTAAGACTAAGTTCACATTGTAGAATTTACATTTAAAAGGTGATGTTACAGTCTTATAGGCTACAGCATCACACCTCAGATGAGGGAAAAAATATAATTTTAAGGTTACAACTTACAAACGTAAACATTTTCTGTTACATTTAAACTTTGTTGTTATTTAAACTGTATTATCTTATTTTCTTAAACTGAATAAATACTAAAATTGGACTTGTATCGACCCCTTAACAACAGGAATGACAAGAGTTTAATGTAACAAATGGGAATATTGAGATAGGTGAAACGAACTGCAAATTAAACCTCTGAAAATATGAATATGTGAGTCTTTCTTTATCATTTCATACACTTGACTACTGATTTTTTAACAGTATAAGTTACTGTTTAAGATGGCACCATAATATTAAAAGGCAAGATGTATTTCAATGTCTTTAAATTATAATACTGTGCAATTTGAATTATTTTACATAAAACCATCATAGGATTTAGTCTTTTTTTTCCCCTGTTAACATAAAAAAACATAACCGTGGAAATAGGAAATATATTATGATAATATTGTCAACCTGCAAAACTGTCAATAAATACCATGAAACAGTTCAATCAATCATAATCTCAGCATCAAGTACATTCGCATTTGTTCTTGTTCAAATGCTATCTCTAATTTATAAAGCTATTCTGTGACAATAGGTTATTAGTTTCGAAATTGGAGACGTTTCATTTCTAGTTTCTAGCACCTGGTACCTGTTTGACCTAAATGTACATGTTGATACGCCCGCTACTGAAACAGGATTAAAAAATAGATTAAACATTCAAAATGCAGTTAAAAGTCAAAGATTATCAACCATATTATGGCGGGGAGCACACCAGGTGAATTTTAAAGACTTCGCAGTCAGAGATGTTCATTTGAATGAGCTCTTTCAGCCGCAGAATTATGATACAGCACATTACGAAGAGTGATTGGGTGTCATACTTCACGTTACTGTGACAAACACAAAACAGTTTAAACATGCCACTGAAATATTAATAACTCACGTTTCAAGATATATTGAAGATCAATTGGTGTTTTTGTGCTGTTAATTTAATAAATGAATCCAATGTATTCATATTTAAAACAATGCACAACCAACTGCTCGTTACACGTTGAAAATAATTTAGTGAGCATTTGTGATATTTTAAAATGCCCCCGAAGGTCTGCACAGATTTATAGAATAGAAGATGCAGCCAAAGGAAATCCTGTTTTTCCACAATATGTACAGTCTGGGTTGGTGATACAAATCCTGCTTTATCAGTTTGGTTTATCAGAGATTTGTTATTCTCTAAATAAATATACAAATGCATATAAGGGTCCTTTGTACCCTTTTAAAAAGTTTATTTGTTTACAGTTTCCCTCCCCCACTCATCCCAATCTCTTAATACAGAAAAAGTAAATTAATGGGAATAATTATACAAATACGTGATTGTGCCTTAAAGTAAGCAATTACCCTAAACGGTGCTTTAATCCTCTTCATGTTGTATCCCTTCCTTTTCCACTTCGTGCACTTCCCCGGATTTTTGCAGGCTTCCTTCTTGTCAGCAGACAGTTCATGCGGTGGAGCCGCCTGACAGATCCCAGCGCTCCAGCGGTATTCTGTTCTGCGAGGACGGGGTCGCTCCGCGCAGCCCACCGGCTCCCAGTCCCTCAGGCTGCATGCTTGCTCAGTCCAGCGGAGGGCTCTACAAGCCCACACTCAGCCCCGACTCCGTGCCTTACCCCCGCCTTTCAACACGGGAACCACTCTCTGCCTCAGTTCTTCTCCGCTCCGTGCTCCTTCAAGAGATTAAAGGATCACATTAGGGGAAAAGCCTATCTAGACTTCTTGCTCCTGCTCCGTGCGTGTGTCCCAAGCAGTATGCGTGCGCTCCCTGCGACTGTTGCCCGATGCTCCGGTAATAATGTTTCACATCTGATAGTTTATTGCCAATGTTAGACTTGCCTTTTCCCCTCGAAACCCCTGGGAGATGTTTACAGTAATGAATTCAGCTGATAGCGATCTCACTGCTGCTGTCTTCTCTCTCTCTGTTTCTCACTCCGTCCCTCCCACCCGTACAGAGTGGAGAGTGCTCCTTTGCCGAAGCAGAGACATCAGTGAGTGGTCAGCAGCCATTTTTGGGGAACTAAGCACTTTTATTCCTGTTCTCCAAACTAATTTTGGTAAAAAGTTATTCCTGGTAAAAAGAAAAAAATATTTTGAAAAAGTAAGTCAATAACCTCGGGAAAACAAATTCTGAAATCCGTTTAATTTCCCTCACCACTTTTCTAAAGGTGTTAGTAAATAAAACGCCTGTCCTAAACCACCAAGATCGCACGTTCATTCATTGCAAGTTATTGTATTTTCATGTATTTATCACTGCTTGTGATAGAATGAATTTGAAGATACTCATCTATTAGCAGTAATGTTAATTTCTTGAAAGAGAAGGATATGTGTAGTTCTAAGGTTTTAAATGTTCCTTTTCTGGACGTGTGATTTGGGCATTTGGATATACTCGTTTAATCAGCTTTTGTTTTATAGCAAAATAGCTGCCATAAAGTGATGTGTTTGTAATTTTTTGGATGGCATGGAGTAATTTCACTTATAAAGATATCTATAAATAATATACAGAAAGATCTGCAATTGATTGAATCACATACTGTACCTCTGCTATGAATTACAGAAATAAAAATATATTTTTCCTGTGAATGTACTGTACAGGTAAGTGAGCTACAGTAGGCAAGAAGTACTTTAGAAATGAGTATAATACATTCATAGTTCTCCCATCACTGATGAAAATGTAAATTCTTTATTTTGTATGCTTTATACTGTAAGTACGTCTGGCCACGACTTTACATTATAAAACTACTAGTTTAATGTTTTATTCTGTTATTTTTTTACTTGGAGTAAGACTGGTGGATGTTCTTTTTTTTCAAAATGAAAAAAGCTCATAAAATAATAAAAAAACAGGCCAACAGCATTGTTGCGATGCCTAGTATCTGCAAGTTCTAATGTGCTCCAAACTCTGAGGCAGAGCCCTGCTGAGATGAAACGCTCCCTTAATGAAATCTTCAGAATTAGCAAGGCTTGGTAATGTTTTATTAAATTAATCAGTCCAAGAAGATGTGATATGACAAAAACAGTTTCTCTGTCCGTGTGTTCAGTTTTTTGCAAAATTAAGAAACGACTGTTTTTTCTCTCTGTTTTACTGAACACAGAATAGCAAGTTCACGAAGTAGGGACTGGGCCCAGTGAGGGATAGTTTCTCCTCCCTGTTCTGGTTTCTCACATAGCTCAGAACAAGATTTAGTGACTAAAATCATTTGGATACGACTCATGACTCTGTAGGCAGTCTGATCTGACTTGTTTATACCCCCATTACCTGATAAACAAAAGACTAAATTCAAGGGTTATACTGTATATGTAAACCAAAGGCTCCCAGGTACTTCACTGAAGAATCTGAGATTTGATTTTAATATTTGAGAGCGTAGCTGGGTCTGTCCTTATGGTACAATGAAGGACAGCTTAATAAACTGGACACTCATGTTTTATTCTTCAGAGCACCAGTGACAACAGCATGTGATATTTGCCTGACCTTGATGTTTCTTTCCAGCAAGATTAGCATATACAATAAGCATTGCATGAAAACTGGTTAATATTGGCTATTGCAATTGAATTACTGTTATGTCTATCCTATCTATGTAGATGCCTGACTGACATCAAATTAATGGCAAGAAGATGGCTTAATGGATGGCCTATGGTTAAAATGCGATATGCTGATTATGTCACGCATGATTGATCGATCTTATCAATTTGCAATCATTAGTCACAAATGACAAGAGGGAATGCCAGACTCTTAACTGATGATGATGCATGTTCTATACAGAGAACAGCCTGCATGGCCTTATGATTATAAATTAGATATACAGTATTTCCAGAAAGATAGTCAACCTGTTGTCTGAAGCTATAGTTTAATGTATCAGTTGTACTACATTTGTCACATTTTGCTATTTTTTATGGCATGCTGAGTGCCTTTTGGGTACATGTTTGCCTGCCAAATACCACAGCTGTCATTTTTGTTCTCAATAGACAAAATTAAATTTCATTCAGACTCTGGCTTGTTCCATATTAATTATATAAGTGCTTATGAGACCCATGGACAGGCAAGAACCTGCTTATAATCTTTAAATAGATTCAAGTTAAAACTGTGATATCAGAAAATTTAGATGGAGGAATATGGACCTGATTGAAAGTTGAGAAATAAAATATTAAAGTTACAACAATACTGCATACATTCTTTATAAGGCACGGATATAAAATCAGCTGGAATATTTTTCAGTTTGCAAATTGTCACCATCCTAGTGTTACTGCCTGTTATAATGTATCTGAGGTATCATTCATAAATATTGAACACAAGTGAAATAGGAAAAGGATTCTTTTTCTGTTGCAGTTACAGTATGTACAATAATCTTCAGTCTTTTTGAATAATTTATTTAAATCTCTGGCAGTATTATGGTCACAGTAGGAATTGCAATTTGCATATAGTTTGCCCATCTCATATAATACTTCCATGTTTTCTTTACTTGCGGTAAACCTATTTGCTATGAAGTGTAAGACAGAGAGCAGGTGGAGGGCTGCAAATTCAGGACATTATATCAAGGTGGCAGTAGTGTACAGGGATATTTTTCTAGCTCACTAGTGTATGCTATGGCACCTATTGACTATCTTAGGTAGTCACGTCAGGTAAAAACTTAATTTGTATTTCTTCACAAATGAAGAAATGAACAAAGCTTTTTTACAGTGAAAGAAAATGCATATTTTTAAACCTTTCTTTAGAATAATTACTGTATTCCAGCTGAGGATCTTGACACCCTGAATGTTGAATGGCCATTGAAAAGCAAGAGCTAAGCTTTATAATAAATGTTCAATGTGATTATGATTGACATATCCTGTGCACATCAACAAGTAAACAACGGTCTCATCTCCTATGAGCTATGATAGACCTTCCAAAATGAAACCAGATGACATTGGTTCTTCCCAGTAGCTGCTATGGCAAGGCACATGTTCTGTGCTGTGAGTACACAATAGTGAAAACTAAAAAAAAAAAAACATATATACTGTAATTTTACTAGCACATAAAGAGCTTCTGATCTCAAGTATTCATCTGGCTACTGGTTCCCGGTGTAAATAGTACAGTATGTAAAAAGAAGACATAACATAACATTTTGTTTAATACTTCTTTGCATCATTTTTATATATTTTATTTGTCATATTTACTAACATTTTATTATGAGTTTGAAAAAAGATATCAAGGCATCTGTGGTATTTCCAAACGTGTATTGTAGGTTTCAATTTACTGTAAGTACAGTGTAATTTATTGAATATAGTACTAAGTGTATTAATATGTAAATGTATTTACAAACAGTATAGTAGGATAATTAATTTTACCTCTTTAAAAACTAAATAGAGAATGTATTGTAGAAATTTGTGTTATCTTATCTGAGTTTTGTCCATTTTTTCATGCCACCCTATTATTTTATATACCAAACAGCTGTTTAATTTATTCCCATTTCACCATGTCTGGTTTCTTATTTTTTATCTCTTATCTGAGGTCAAGAATTTAGTTCTCCATTAATGCTTTTCTTAACATCCACTACATCAACAGTCTGTTTATTAACAAGGACTAAGATTGCAAAGTACTGGTGTGGAATAAATAATTGTGATTCAAGTGTGTCATGTTCTACAGTTTTAACACTACGAAGATGAAGGTGAGTGATGAGAACAATAGGTTCTTCTAATTGCAACCTATTTTAAATACCATGTGTGAGTTTACTATCAAATAATTCAGAAAAGGGCATAATATGGGACTTTGATACAAAACACAATTGGAATATGTGACCGTAAATGTCAGGATTAGCATGAAAAAATAAATTTTACAATAAAACCTACAATAATCATTTCTAAATAATGCCTAATGAAAATAACAAATTATTTGCTAAACAACTTCCCTTCTTTTTCTTATGACATCTGTAAATAGCAATCGTACTTCATACTGACATTTTCAATGCAGAAAGAATAAATATTATCACTCATCATATATCTCTCACCACACATTTGCTTCAGAAATACTTGGTGAATCAAACAACTTATCAAGCTCTTCACATAAACATTCACAGATAAATACCACTCAAATAATGAACTCCACTGTATCATGTGATTCTGCACAATGCAGAAAATTTTCCCAAACAAATTTTGCAACATATTCAATTAGCATATTCAGCATTTGAATATGTTAAGTAATTCCTCATGCAGTGTCTAAGCCTCTTGTTTAATAGGAAATGCAGTTTATGTCTTTATGCAACAGAATAATCTAATCAGGAAATGACAGCTAACAAAGGAATGCAGTGACAAGGCCAAAAATCATTTAGTTTTGTGTCACATTTTCTTATTTATTTAAAACTTAATTTAATTTCAGTCTTTGAAAATGACATTTGGCTGCACAGTAAACACTTTTAAAAATAGACAACATTCTGTAGTCATGTATATAAATTTGGAAACACCTAGCAAGGGATTTGTTTAAAGGATTAATATGTCTAACACTAATCATCCAAATTCAGACGTCTAAATCTAATATTTTTAAGCCTTTGCATACATTTATCCTCATTAAGGAGAAAGACTTGGGAAACTTTAACAGAAAACTAAAAAGCCAATCATTCACATAAATGTCCAGATCTCCAGTGCAAAACCCGTTCTTGAGATCACAGAAAAAAAATGTTTGTTGAGTGCAGAAAGTAAAAAGAGGCAGTGTTCAATCAGCCTTCGATTTATTTAATCAGTAGTTCACTCGGTCAGAAGTGAAATATTGTTCAGAAGAAATGGACTGCTGGGTTACTCCAGATGGATGTGTCCCATGCATGTATCAAGCTGTAAAAACAGTGACGGGTAACACAAAGGGCTCTGTTAGTCAGCAGGCACAGACAGATATGCAGGGAAAGGTCAGGAAGTGAATTGTTGTTTAGAAGATGGGATGCTTTTCTGAAGTTACATCTGCAGTAAATATCCTCTTTGAGGTTAAATAAAG